TGTTTTAGTGTATTTTTTGTCTTTGTTGGAAGCCACCCAGAGTGGCTGGGGAAACCCAGCCAGATGGGAGGGGTACAAATAAATTATTATTATTATTATTATTTCAGCAAAGCTGATGGAGATGTCCTGCAACCTCCTCTCCCTCTCCTACAGCCTGGTAGAATGACTGCTATAGATGTCTCTTGAGGAAGGAGCCTGTACAGGTGGTCATTTAGCAGAACCAATGGAGAGGTCCTGCAAGCATATCTTAATCCACATTTCCTGGGTTGGAGATTGTGCTGGCTTCAAACACCCACTGGGTCTTGATCAACTGCCCAATGTTCCACTGGAACAGTCATGGAAAACTAGGGCATGTTGACTCAATCTGCACCTCCTAGATCAATGTTTGATAGTATTTTAATATTTTTTTGGAAGCTGCCCAGAGTGGCTGGGGAAGCCCAGCCAGATGGGTGGGGTATAAATAATAAATTATTATTATTATTATTATTATTATTATTATTATTATGGAACTTAAGTTAATCACCAGGTTTTGAATTTCCTGGATTTGTTTTTTTTTATAATAATTTTTATTAAAGTTTCAATCAAAAATTAAACAACAAAGAAAGAAAAGAAAAACATAAAAAAAATACACAAATACACCATACAAATCTCAAAGAGAAAATAAAAAAAACACAAAAGACAAAAATCAACAATAAAAAAAAAGAACATAACAATTAAAAACAATATCTCTTTTCCATTTCCGTTTTTAAATTTACTTATTTTCTGGACTTCCTCATACCTCCCTCTTTTGTATTCCAATCCAAATTGTTTGTCCAGCAATTTCTTTTCCACTTTTTAAATCCCAGTCTTTAATTTAATATAATATTGAAATATATAACTTCAACTTCTTTAAACCTAATCTTTAGTCTTAATGTAATGTAACATTAAAATTTTACCTCTTAATTGTCAAATTTCCATTTCATTAAACATCTTTAATCCTAATCTTTAGTCTTAATCTATCATTAACCTTAACCTGTACAGCTGGAAACCGCTTATTTTCAGTCCAACATCACTCTAACATTCTTTAATTTTGCAATGTTTCTGAAGATAGTCTTTGAATTTCTTCCAATCTTCCTCCACCGACTCTTCTCCCTGGTCACGGATTCTACCAGTCATTTCCGCCAGTTCCATATAGTCCATAAGTTTCATCTGCCATTCCTCCAGCGTGGGAAGTTCTTGTGTCTTCCAATACTTTGCGATGAGTATTCTTGCTGCTGTTGTTGCATACATAAAGAAAGTTCTATCCTTTTTTAACACCATTTGGCCGACTATGCCCAGGAGAAAGGCCTCTGGTTTCTTAGGGAAGGTATACTTAAATACCTTTTTAAATTCATTATATATCATTTCCCAGAAAGCCTTAATCTTTGGGCACGTCCACCAAAGGTGAAAAAATGTACCTTCAGTTTCTTTACATTTCCAACATTTGTTATCGGGCAAGTGATAAATTTTTGCAAGCTTGACTGGGGTTATGTACCACCTGTATATCATTTTCATAATATTCTCTCTTAAGGCATTACATGCCGTAAATTTCATACCTGTGGTCCACAACTGTTCCCAGTCAGCAAACATAATGTTATGTCCAATGTCCTGTGCCCATTTAATCATAGCCGATTTTACCGTTTCATCCTGAGTATTCCATTTCAACAGCAAGTTATACATTCTTGACAAATTCTTAGTTTTGGGTTCTAACAGTTCTGTTTCTAATTTGGATCTTTCCACCTGGAAGCCAATTTTCTTTGAATTTCCTGGATTTGGGGCATAGTTCTGAGCTAAAAAGATATATCAAGAATTTAAAATGTGCATTTTGAAAGAAAATGTGTTTTAAAAATATGTAGTTGTGTGTGAAGGGGGAGCAGAAATTGGAGATAAATACAAATCATGCAGTTATGCAGTTATGCAGTTATACAAAACAATCCCTAGTTGAGGATGGGGTAGTCATTCAGTTTGGTTCACATTTTAATGCAAACCTGCCCAATTTGCACTTTTCTGAGATGATAGGCAAACCAAATCACAGTTATCTTTAAAGTTCACCGTTCTCTGAATTTTGCAATGCAATTCGCCAGTAAATATAGGGCTGCCATACGTCCGGATTTTCCCAGATAATATTGGGTTTTCAAAGGCAGAATTGATGTCCAGGGGGGATTTCTGAAAGGTAGCACTTTGTCCTGGATCTTAGACAAGTCAAAAAGCTCAACAACTTTCGGGGTGTCCTGGTTTTTACTTTTTGAAATATGGCAAGCCTAGATTGTGTACAAAAATGTGTATATGGTAGGGGGTTGTTATGAAAATTAATATGTTGGTGAAAATGCATTCTATTTGGGGAAAGTGCTTGCAAAAATGTGTGTTAAATGAAATTGCATGCAAAAATGGGTATATTCAGGGAAATGTGTACTAAAATAATGACGGATTTTTATTGGGGCTTTTAAAAAAAATCACAAACTGAAGAAGAAATATGGTGAACTGAATATTGGAAAAATGAGAAACTGAATAGCATATTCACTTATCATTAGAGCATCAGAAAAGCTCTGCTAGATCAGCCCAACGGCCCATCAAGTCCGGCATTTTTTTTCTCACGTTGGCTAACTAAATGCTCACAGGAAGCCCAAAAGCAGGACTTGAGTGCAGCAGCAGATGTCCCAGTGTCTACCAGTTAAGTGTGTTTATGATTTAGAACAAACATATCAAGAGTGAAAAGAGGGGTGGGGAGTTTTTGAAAAAGAGTAGCAAAACAGGTTATTCAGCAGCTAGCAAGATGGAAAAGTTGACGGCCTGACAGCCCAAGAGAGGTCATAGTATTAGCAGATTTTAAGGAGAGATTTAAATGAGAGTTCCAGAATAACGTGTCTGCTTTTAGGCTTCCGAATAAAACTAGGGCAGTGATGAGGAAATGTGAAGAAGAGTGCATTTGGTAGAGTGCATTTTCATTGCATCAGTCTCTAGCCACTAACCTGGAAAATATAATCACTGCACCAACTCTTACAGCAGGGCTTCTCAAATTTTCTTGCTGCAGGCTTATACAAGTCAAAATTAAAAACTGTTTGTGCTTTTACTCACGTAACCAAGGCAGAATAAATATATAAGGTTTCCACCAAAGGTTTTGTTCTTGCTTTCAGAAATAAATGCACTGTGGGAGAGGAGAGGAGAAAGACCCTGCAAAGCCTTACCGGATTTTAAGAAAGTGTTTAGACATTGTGCCCTATAGACAAAGAGCAGGCAGGTTAAACGTGGTCTTAAGCCAAGATTGAAACTCCCTCCTTCCAAACAAGAATGTGCTCGACCTAAAACAGGTATGCAGTAGGATCTATTGAATCAACTGAGCCAACAGAAAGAGTGCCCCCCCCGCAAGTCTATTTGCAGCAAAGGAAGAGCAAATTGGGGCAGGGGTCTTCAGCGGAGGGTCACAGCTAGGGAGGGGAGAGTTAACTCTTTCATGCCTACCCATGATCCCTTCAAAATTGGCCCTCCCCAAATGCAATTAACCCTTGAAATAAGACTAATTACAACACAGGGAGTGCATTTGGGGCAGATGCCATAGGTGGGGAAGGAAGGGTTAACTCTCCCCTCACCAGCTGTGATTGAGAGGTAGCACAGGAGAGGCATTTCCCACCTTGCCCTTTGTCCCCTTCTGCCCTGTCCGGCTGTAGATGCAGCCATAGCTGTGACATTTTCAAAAGCCCCACTGCTACCAGCCAAGGCTGAGGTTTTTGTCCCACAAGGCTGAGGTTTTTGGAATGCAGAGACTCTGGCCACATCCATTGCCATTGCTCCATGAATATGGTGCAGTGTCCAAACGGATCAAAGTTGTTATCACAGGGTCATTTATTTATCTTTAATGTTGAGTCATTGTAGCAATAAACTTAGTTTAATATGATATGGGGTTTGGGGGGTATTTTTAATTACCGAAGGGAAAACATTAATTAAAAAAAAACTTATTAAAGTACCCCAAAACAGATGCAGCTTTAAACTTTGGCTTCAAAAAGAAGGAAAATAAATAGCTTTCTTCTGCATTTCTATGTGCCTGTAAATCAGCAATGCTCTCACCATCTCATACTGCTTCTGTTTGGCCATTCTCCCTGTCTCTGTTTTCATGTTTTCATTTTTCTATGGCTGTATAGAACATATTTCTCATTTAAGTAGTTGCTTTTGAGAGTTGTTGCCATAACAACCATTTCATTTCACGATATGCACACTATCTCTGAAATACAGAATTTCTCCTTAAAGGAGCATGTGCCATACACATCAAAAGGGAATGTGCACTCATTATTCTTACATTATTTTGCAGGAAAATAGATATATATTTTTTTAGTAAATACATTTTCTAACTTGATTTTTTTGTTCACTGGAACCATGGCTGGTTGTTAGGGGGGAGGGAAGTTTAGCTTGCCTATCATGCGGTATCTTATTGTTTCCAAAAATATTAAGAATCCTTATTGCATTCCCTCCTCTTCTTAAAAAAGATATTTGAGTTAACTGTGCCACAGTTAATGCATTTTAAATCTATCCCAGTAGATAGTAGATTTTGTTTGCATGTTTTTGCTCACTGTTTAAGAAGCCTTTTATTCCAGTCCTGAATATATTTATGTTGAAATCTCACCAGTTTTGATGGAACACAGCTTCCAAATAAGTTAGAGTTTCAAGATTCAAACCCTGAGGTAACCCATTTACCTTTTAAGGCTGCAATCCTATGGGCACATTTGCTTGTGGGAGGATAACTCCCTTTTAAGATAGTTTGGTGAAACATACTTACAAGTAAACACACATATTAGGTAGAGAAGAATATTTTGGCTGTTGGAAGGTTGCCATATGTCCTCTTTTTCATGGGTATGTAAAATGAAAGTCGTCATAGTGATCCATAGTTAAAAGTAGATGCTGGCAAATTTGTCCTCTTTTTTGCTCTTCAGAATATGGCAACCCTAGCAGTTGTGTAGTTTTCCTATCATGGCATTTAGCAACAGAAGAAACTACACTTGCTGGAATTTTCCTTCTATGTATTCTTCTATTTTTCTCAGCGTTTTGCACCTGGGATAAGCAAACACACACACGACAAAATTATTTCATGGGGAAGGGCTATAACTCAGGAGTTGAGCACCTGCTTTGCGTGCAGAATTTGCCAGGTTTAATCCCTGGTCTCTTCAGGAAAGGCTGAGAGAGTTCCCTGCCTGAAACCCAGGAGAGCCTCTTCCAGTCAATGTAGACAATACTGAGCTAAGGCAGCTTCCTGCATTCCTAGGTTCATGCCCAGAGTAATTTTTAATGCTTTTCTTTGAAAATTGTGGCGTTACTATAGGAATGGATATGTAGTACATTTCCAACTAAACCTGTGTTCACATGTTGAACCATGTAGATTTCCAAACTTGGGTTTCCAGCTGTTTTTGGACTACAGTTCCCATCATTCCTGACCACTGGTCCTGCAAACTAGGGATGATGGGAGTTGTAGTCCCAAAACAACTGGAGACCCAAGTGTGGGAAGCACTGATGTAGACCATCTATAACAGGCATCCCCAAACCCGGCCCTCCAGATGTTTTGCGACTACAACTCCCATCATCCCTGACCACTGGTCCTGTTAGCTAGGTATGATGGGAGCTGTAGTCCCAAAACATCTAGAGGGCCGAGTTTGGGGATGCCTGATCTATAAGAAAAGGAATGTGTAGCGCCACCCATTTTACAGGGAGTTAGACTAGATGACCCTTGTGGTCCCTTTCAGCTCTACAGTTCTGTGACTATGATTTTCCCTACAGAAACACAGTGATGGCCAAACTTGGCCCTCCAGCTCTTTTGGGACTACAATTCCCATCATCCCTGACCACTGGTCCTGCTAGCCAGGGGTCATGGGAGTTGTAGGCCAAAAACATCAGAAGGGCCAAGGTTGAGGAAGCCTGCTTTATAACAACCTTCCCCAACCCAGTGCCCTCCTCACACACCATGAATAAGGTGTGTTCTGCCTCTCCAGAATTTATTTTTTTTTAAATAGTTTATCTTAGAAGTGCAATTGAGTAGGCCAGAAATAATTTGTTTCTCTTTAGTCAATGCCACCACTGAGAATGGCAGTGTTTGTGAACTTCTGGAGGAGGAACATGGTGGACTGAACATCTTTTGCCAGCAGGCTGCTGATGGAGATAATTATGTGCTGATTTATGATAGCCAGCCATAAATCTTGGCTATCAAATTCATTCTGGAAAAAAGAGTGAACAGGGGATTCAACTATGATGCTCTGAAAAAGCCGCTTTCTGCATCAAGGGACCAAGAAGCTGTCAGCACCTGCGAACTCTGATGGGGTTAAGTGACTTGTGAGTGGAGGAATCAACATCTTGCCCCAAAGCCATTATGATTTGGCAGTTGAACTCTCTTCATGTTGCCAGATTCCACTACTGATGAAGGAGGTGTGATAGGTGGCACCATGCAGGTCTTCTGGGAGGCAATTCCATGTGCATGGAGTAGTGAGGCAGAAAAGGTGGAATATTTTGAGGGAGCAACAGGCCTTATGATGGCTGAAGGTAGTGGAGTGAGAGAAGTAAGGGTCATGGTCAGGGATGTATCTGAATATAAGTGTGATGGCCTGGGAATCTGATTCAGAGGCTGAACCGGAGGAATACCAGCCTGCACAGGAGTCCCTGCCTCCAGGGCCGGCTGAGCCAGGGCAGGGCCTTAAATCTGAAGCGCCTGCACCTGTGCCAGATCCTCAGGAGCAGACACCAGATGAATCCACTCTGGCTCCGGAGGTGATTGAGGACCATTGCCTACAGGTGCGCCTCTCCCACCCCTGTCAGGGGAAGGTGAGCCTCCCCCTGGGTCCAGTAACCCTCCAGCCTCTCCTGAGCTGCAGAGGCTCAGGGCAGAGAGGTGGAGGGAACTGGGTTCTCTCAGGAGGAGTGCTTGCCTTAAGGCCAGGAGAGGCGGGTCACCTGTGGGCCGGGACCGCCCCTGGCCTCAGAGAAGATAAAGGCCAGTCAGCCCGGTCCCAGGTTGCGGGAGCAACGACGTTGGAAACCTGTTGCTGCCAGCACCCAGACCTGTTTTTTCTGGAGTTCCCCACCACGCCCAGCTTCTTGCTTTGGACCCCGCTGCCCCCCTTGGTGGACAGTCTCCAGACCCTCGGACCAGGACCGGACTTTGACCACGCCTCACGGTAACCCCCCCCCCTGGGACCAGCACAATAAGTGTTTTCAGATAAGGGAGGCAAAACAGTGTAGGGCTTTGAAGATATATTAAACTGCTTTCCTTCTCTTGCCCTCTAGCCAACGCGGAAGTTACAAAGAATGTGACAGGTCTTCTTCAGCATCCTGTGTGACAATACAGGGGATCCTGAGGCACCCTTCTGGGACAGCTTGCAGATTGAAGAAGGGGCTCTGTATGACATTACAGAGGAACACAACTCTGGGATTGCTTCCATCATCAGCTGCTGCACACAATGTGCAATTTGAGTGATGCACCTCAGCACACTCTAACGCACTGCAGGAGGTACGCAGATGTATCTCTGGAGCTGCATGCTGCAACAGCCATCATTTCTCCTCTGGGGGAAAAAATGCAAATTGAAAAACCCAGCAAGGATTGTGATACTGGCGGTGTGACCTCTTTCAGATTTTGGGTTGCAAATCACCAGCTGAAGAATCATCTGCATATTTGGTTATCTATACACAGCCTGAAAAAGCACTGGAGTTATCTCAGGATCTGGACTGGATTATCCTAAAATAAATTTGCTCAGGCTTTCAGACTCTTAATTAATTTAGAAGTGAATCCCTATTTTGCAAGTTGAAGTAACAGAAGAGTTTTCCGGAGTAACTTTTGTTTTTCATTTTGTAGCTTCACATAGTGTTGTGTTGTTTTGTTTTTTAAAAAAATCATGTATGCTCTATAGAGCATCACACTTATTTTTTGAAAATGTCTTATTTATGAACTTACCCCAGTTACTTTGTTTTTTTGTGTTGTTGTTTTTTTACCTTTTCTTTTTAACTCAAGATCTGCGAGAAACAAGCAAAAGATTCTGCAGTACTTATACTGAAAGAGGTCATACATTATTCAAGTGTATTTGCATGTATTTGGGCTTCCACCCCACACCAATCCACTTTCTATGAGCCAGGAACAAATAGATAACACAATTCAGTATTGGTCAAATTGATGGGGGTAGTGGGAGGGAGAAGAGATAGATGGGAAAACACAGCATGCCACAGAAATATTAACTGGTACATTGCATTGTATTATATATATTGGTGCAGTTTAATAGCTTGGGTTTATCATCTTAAAAAAAGAAGTTAAATTACCTATACCAGGCCTATGATAGTCTGCACACTTACTTGGCATTAAGGATCAGAAAATCTGCCCACCATTTCTGCTTCTTTCCATTTCTTATTTTTCTGGTTTTAACTTTGGTTCTCCACATTTCTACATCAGCTTTAGATTTTTTAAAGTCCTCATAAAAATCATCATTTAAGTCATCATTAAAACATGAAGACTTTTGTCCAATATGCACATTTTTGCAAAGCATTTCCCCCTAAATTAATGCATTTTTTTTCTGAGTTGTTTTCACCACTATATGTGTTTACATGCATGCTTGACCCTAGTAAAGTAATTCTTGTGCACATTACTTGGTTGGAAAAGTATGAATTTTGAAGGATGGTGGTGTTTTGGTTTGTGTGTTGTTTTGGGGGAGTGCGAACTAGGTAGATTCAACTTTGCACATGAATTGAATCCCATTTCTTTCCCATCCCTACTTGGGAGTAAGCACCACTGACTAAGTTCTGAGACTAACTTCTGAATAGAGAAGCACAGGGATGGGTGGCACATGGATTTAAATGGCTTAGCTGTCATCACACCAATGCTAGTGATTACCTGTCCTCAGTGGCAGAGCTTCATGCTCTGGCACCGGGGGGCAGAGAGCAGGCGGGGGCAGGGCTGGCGCACGTCCCGGGGGCAGGGTGCACTGCCTGCAGGGGTGGGGCATGCGTCCTGGGGGCGGGGGGCACCGCCTGTGGGGGCAGGACGCCCAGCGCGGGGGGGGGGCAGCCGTGATGGCACACTGCTGGGATCACGCTGCCAGGGGCGGTGTGCTCCCCCTGCACTCCTCCTCCTCTGCCAGTGCCTGTCCTCACCCTAGTTGCTCATGCAGATGGAAGATATGAGATCCCAGGGGCAGGCCACGAAAGTGGACTTGGAACACAAACTTTGTAGTCCAGCACTAGGATATTTGATCAGTAACCTAACAAAGGACAGTAATATACTAAACGGGTGGACTGTAGCTTAATGGCAGAACACCTGTGTTGCATACAGAAGATCCAAGGTTCAATCCTTGCCATCTCCAGCTGGTGTAAAGCAGCTTCCTACATTCCTAAATCTAACACTTGTTAAGTCTGTGCATACCCTACTGCAGATATCAATATTATGCAGTTTGAAGCAACTGGATGCATAAAACCAACTCCTTTAGAAATGAAGCATTGTCCAGACCCATTAGATTGTTCAAAACTTTACTCGCAGAACTTTCTTCAAAGCAGAACAGAAACATCAAATGATACATCCAAATAGCCCCATAAGACATATGCCAGTCCAAGGTAGCGCATCAGCATCCTACAAAATATGAAATAATTCCAACAGACCTAGAAGCAGAGGTCTGTGTCTCCCTAAAACCTGCATCCTGCTGGAGAGTCATTTACATCTTTACTCTCACAGAGTCTGAGAACAAAGAACTCCAGCCACCACCCTTCCAAGATGGCAAATTCAATACCTCTCATGTGATCTAAGGTTAAAACACCACATCAGAGCTACCTGAGAGCAATAACAGTTAATTATCAACCCATCAAGGCAGCTCAGAGAGCCCTTTTTGCTCTTAATTTAGCTTGGTATACTTCAATGGAATCTTCCATGTTAGATCTTTTCAGCAATACACAGGCATTCCCATTTCAGTCTCAATTGAACAATTACACTTAACAAACCCAACAACAATAAGCCATAAATATACTGCTGGACTGTTGGGAGCATTGCCAGATCAGAGCAAAGGTTCATCTAGACCAGCATCCTTTTCCCACAGTGTGTGAGGTAAAAGGTAAAGGTAAAGGACACTTGGATGGTTAAATCCAGTCAAAGGCGACTTTGGGGTGCGGCGCTCATCTCGCTTCAGGCTGAGGGAGCCAGTGTTTCTCCACAGACAGCTTTCTGGGTCATGTGGCCAGCACGACTAAACCGCTTCTGGCACAATGGGATACCGTGACGAGTGCCAGAGCGCACAGAAACTCTGTCTCCCATGGTGCCTAACCACAAGTCTGCTAGGAAACCTGCAAAAACAGGGCTTGAAGGCATTAGGCCCTTTTGACTTCCCCGCCCTGCCAGGAGCTGGTGTTTCACCCCCAAATATGGGGGCTCCGTTTAATTGGAATGGCTAACAGCCATTGAAAGGCCCCCTATTACCTTGACTAATCCCTAAGCAAACAACTCCTGCCACATCTTGTAGTGGTGAATTACAGAAATTTATTCTGTGTTGTGCAAATAGGTTTTATCTTTCTCTGCCCTCAACCTACTACCACCCTCACTGCATGACACTCACATCTTATCTTACAAGAGAGGAGTGTGGGATGATTTCTCCTCTTTCTGCCTACTCTAAGCAGAGGTAAAGAAGCCAGAGAACTGAAGAGAAAACTGCAGTTGATCATAAAGTCTATGGGGGGGGGGAGGGAGCTCAGAGACAGAGGTATATAACCTCAGTATTCCATTTGCAAAAAGGCCTGGCTGGGGACAGCCTTTAAGAGTTCTCGGTATGTCAAGGAAGCTGTGGCCCTCCTGATGCTATCAGACTCCACTTCCCATCAGCTCCAGTCAGCATGGCCAATGGCCAATGGTTAGGGGTGCTGGGAGCTATGATCCACACCATCTGGGTGGGACCACAGGTTCCCGTCCCTAATCTACAATGACTATTTGGAGGAAGAAGAGGCAAGCTTGGGAAATAGTGTACCAGTGTTAGAGGACATAGTATGTAGATTCAATCACGGACATCTTCAGTTAAAAGGATCAGGTTTCAGGTGATGCGAAAGGCTTCTGGAAAGCTAAATACTAGCCATGTGGTGTCAAAAATCTCGGACTTGGGCATGAGAGATTCAAGTTCAAATTCCTAGGTCAGCCATAAAGAGTCACTGTGTGACTACAGACAAAATCGTTCAGTTTAACCTACTTTTCAGGTGTGTTGTGAAGCTGCACCAATACACCTGAGCAAATCTGGAAACCATCAAGCTGTTTCTTTCTTCATCTCCAGTGGAGATTAAATTCTAAGGCCATTCTTAGAAGTAAGCTGAGCTTTTCTAAACTGCTTTCAAAGAAACCATCATATTATGAACAGCGTAAACTGATGTTCAATCCAAGTAAGATGGAGATAGTGTTGGTAGGTGGTTCATCTGACTGTGGGTGGGTGTTCAACCTGTTATGGATGGGGTTGCATACGTTCCCTCTGAAGGATCAGGCTGAAAGTCTTCAGGTGTTGACAGATGCAGCAAACTGTTAGTAACCTAACAAAGAATGCAGCACCTTCCAACAAACACTTAAGGCTGGTGCACCAGTTGCAGCCAGTCCTGAGCGGAGAAAGTTTAGCCACAGTTATTCATGCCCTGGTGACCTCTAGCTTGGACTATTCTCAGAAATTTCAATTTGTAACCTAGCAGCTGTGTTTTATACTAAACTGGACCGCCTACAACTCTCTCCAATAACAAATATTTATTTTTTATTTAAACAATCTGGCAAATACAAAAAAGAATGAACAACAACTAGCAGTGTTCTTCTGTTTCCTCAAACTTACAGACTGTTCAGCCATCTATTCCAGGACAAGAAACAGATGCTCAATTCCATCCAGAATATATGCCCTTAAATGATCTGGATGCAGGTGTGATCGACTTTATGCCATTACAGGTGGTGAATGGCAAGAAGGCATTCTCAGTTATGGTGCCTCACATTTAGGTTGCCAGTAGAAAAGGACTTTGGGACAGAGTTCTAGGGATCCTACAGTAAAGTTGGCTTACTACATTTTGAAGTAAGTGAAGTAAATGAACTGTACCCACTACCATGTGAAGAAGCACGCTTTGGGCCAGTCACTGCCTATTAGCCAAACGTACCTCACAGGGCTGTTGTGGGGATTAAATGAGATGGGGGAGAACCATGTGTGTAACCTTGAGCTCCTTGGATGAAAAGGTGGGGCAGAAATGAAATCTACCTATCAATCAGATACTTCAGGTGCCCCTGCTTCGACTCATGCCACCTCATAGAGAGTCTGCTTTACCGTGGACAAGCTCGGAATCTCTCCCAGGCACCCCACTTCAGTTTCAGATTCTTCCCAATCCAATGTGCACCTAACAGCTGTTTTCTGCGTTGTTTTTCCCCACCACTGCTGAGAACAGACAGCAATACGAGCCCTGCTCAGAGTGAATTCCAAACATAATGAACTAGGAGAGCTAATAAAAACAACAAGAAGGGACAAACAGATAGTGAAATGGCAACCGGCAGATATAAATGAGATGAGATTTTAATATAGATAGGCTTGACAAAGACAGACCTGGGGAGCCTGCATCCTGATCAGAGAAGATCACCAAGGGTGCTTCCAGACAAGAGCTTAATATTGCAAACAGGTCATTGGCAACAATTTTTTTTAATGTCAGATTTTCTGTGGGAAGAGTAAATCCAGATTAAATGGGGGGGGGATTCAGGCTGGCATCTTGATGCCAAGGTTGTCATGTGGATACCATGAAAAACCTGCATGGCTCCGAAGCACTTTTCCCATAATAAACACCCACCTGGAAGCGTTACTAGTCACATGGGAGAAGAAAATTCTATCAAGGAATTCACTGTTTGTTACAGAAGGGGAAAAGGAGAGTAGCAATTTCTAGAACAACGGTTTGTTTGTTTTTGCAGAAGCAACAATCTGCCCCCATGATGTCTTTGGGTGTATCTTGAAACCATGTGGCTGTTGAGCAGAAAGCATAAACGAGCCACCATGCAGGTCATTTTCCTCCTTCAAATAGGCAATTGATTTTCTGATCTATGCATTGTGCAATTGTTCATTCATTTACTTCAGAAGGGAAAAGCAGGTAAGTGGCCAAATCCATTTGTTTCAGGCCCAGCAGCACCAAGAAGCTGCCCCTGGACCTTACTCTTCTTCCCAAGCTGTAACACCACTTCCTGTAGCTGGTATTGCCACCATGCCCTCCAGTGGAATCTTAATAGGACTGAGGATTTGGGTGGGGGAGATTAATGTGGAGGCAGAGCAGGGCCAGCGAGGCCTCTGAGTCTGAAGTTCCCTACCCCTGCTATAGGCAGGCAGTGGAAACCACAGCCAGGATTCCCACTGCCCAATTCAGGCCCAAAGCCATCTGATATGCGGTCTCCTAGGCCACCAAGACACAGTTGCCCCACAATAAAGATATAAGGAACTGTATGATTAGTAATAAGTAGGCAATCACAATGGGTTATCTTAGAGCATCTTATTTATACACTTAATTTTTTTAAAAAAATCATTCACACATATGACTGGCAATTGCTCCACAATTAGCAGCTTCCCTAGGTCACAAATTGGGCAGGAGAAAAGTATTTCTGTGGAGCTGATTTTGTGAAGTATCGAAGTATCCATAATGTATGTGTGGCCTGCAGCTAAGTTTCCATCCACGGTGAAGGATTTACTTTGGCATCAATTTCTTGTTGAAAATAAAACTGTACTAAGGGCAGGATGTTGCTTTTAACTAGCCTGAGATGACTAATTATTAAACTCATTTTCTAAAGGTTAGCATATACAGAAAAGCAATTATATGGAGATTAAAACAAGTTCAGAAACTTGATTCATTCTGAAAGTATGGTAAACCTAAGTCTTGTACTATTTCTGAGTTTTAATGACCTCAGGAACATTTTATTTAACTTAGATGTCAAATGCAATTTCGAAATGAGAGATGAAATATATTTCATGGGTTTTCTTTCTTTTTCTTTTTTTACATAGTACAGAGCACAAATTTCACAGGCTGGGTTTTTTTCTGAATTTCTGCAGCTTGGCACGGATGCCATACATGACGTTTAACCCTTTAGATGTGGCACTCTCAGAAGTATGAAACTGGAACTTGGAAGCTGGATAACACAGGATTTTCTTGCTTTTGACTACACCTCAGTTAAAATAAATCAAAGCTTAAGCCCCATCAGGTTAACCTAGTAAAGAGGTATGTTCACATTTATAATCTTAGCTGGGTTGGTAAGTTAACATTCCACAGATTGAGTCTTCCCCCGCACCCAACAATAGATTTCCAATCACTTTACAAAATATTGATCAATATGTAATAAACACATTCACTCACAGTTTCAGTCGCAAGACAAAGGAAGACAAACCATGCTTTAATGTTGTATCTCTTTGCAGGGTTGGGGGAGGTTGTATGTAATACCTCAAGCATGTCTGATTGTGTGTTCGGTTACTATGGAAGCCTTTATTGCTAGGTAGCTCCAACTTCATGACAGAACCAGATCACGTGACTGTAAGAAGTTCCATTTGTATGACAGCTAGACTACAATTCCGCCGTATCCCCAAATCGTTGACTGGAAAATACAGTGTCCACAGAAAAAGCGGGACACAAAGGAGTGTGCTATTAATAGTGTGCTATTAAGCCACAATATAGACTCCATTTAAGTTCATCTCTTGGTCTGTCACACTGATGAATACCTGTAGCCCTCCAGATGTTGTTAGAACGCAGCTCCCATCATCCCTGACCATGCTGGCTGGGATTGATTGAAGTTCAAGAACATCTGAAAGGCCACAGGCTCCCCATTCTTGATCTATTCAGTGCCCACTTACATCTCAGCATACTCAAAAGAGACATCCAGTACAGTTAGTTAAGTGTCTAAGCCTCACAGTGGCTGAACATGTCTACCGAAAACACTGAGAAGCCACAGGATTTTGTGTGTGTGAGAGAGATGCAAATCTGCTATTCCTGTTCTCATTTAACACAGTGCAAATTTCACTGAAACACCCATTTCAAAGGGGCTTACCTGTCTCCGCCCCTGGTAACTGTGCGTGGATTGCAACCCAAGTCTTCAAGATTGCTTTCAGTATCAACATATTTATTGCTCCTCAAACAGTTGTTGCTTACGGAAGGTGGAGCTGTATGTGTATCCAAGACACTGAAGATTCCACTAAAATAATGCCAAAACGCCCATACCTTAAAGAGAAAGAATTCATTACTGGGAAGTCTTCACAGATGATGTTCACCTGCCAGGGTGGTGTTGGAGCCCAAGTGTGTTGTTGTTAAGTACTGTACAGGGGACTCTAAGCCCTCCCCACAGTGAAGCAATGGATGTAGGATTTATTAGATCTGGCCAATAAGGAAAGAATTATTTATAGTAGAAGAGGCACTCCAGGGAAGCTTGATTCCATTTGGCAGCTGATCCTAGAGATGCTTAGCAGTTAGAATAACTCACTACTCTTTTTTAGCGTCCATCACCCCCCGAGTGTTTTTAATATTATGGGATGGAGGACTGAGGAACTGAGATGGACGTGCTTGAAGAGGGCATTGTTGACATTATTCTCTGCCTTGCATACTTGCAGCTTCTGAAACTTCCATATAGCTTTAAACACAAACATAAGGAAAACCTTTAATATTATTAAATTACAGATTTACAAGTTATGTATTTCCCTTGTGGAAAGTAACAAAGGGTGAGGTGAGGGGGAGGCAAAATTACAAGAACTGAATTTAAATTCTTTCAGCTGAATTAATTATTTCAATTAAGATCATTAATATAAATGTCTACATTTTGAGGAACCAAATTTTAAAATCCTTTTAGAATCTCGTGGCACTTAAAATACTATTAAATCTTTGTGCAGAGATTTTCTCCCATTAGAATCTCTTAATCAAAAACACGAAGCCCAAGGCACAATAACAACGTAAAAGACTTAACCACAAATGTAGTTTCCGTTGCCTTTTGTTGAGGGCCACCAGGTCGCCCCAGAGACTGTGCCTAAACCCATTGTGCCTCCAGTCTCATTTCTCCAATCAGACCCAGCACCAAGGAGGGGTCAGGTGGGGCACTGGCTGAGGGTTTGGACCCTCTGAGAAGCCCGCCAACCTTCCCCTTCAGGACCCCAAAGGTATGAGACATTTTTAGTAGACTGTTGTTGCTTTTATTCCATGGCTTTTTATACTCTCAAATAACATATCTTATAAGCAGTCTATTCTATAAACATGTGAAGCTGCCTTATACCTAACCAGCCCACACAGAATCCCTTTCAAAAAGACCTGGAAATGCAAGGGATTGACGCTCAGACCCAATACCTGCAAAACATGTACCCTGCAGCTACTTTACCGCCTCTCTCAAGGGCTTCTGAATCATTCTGGAAACTGAGTTTTATTTTGCTCTGGATGCCTTTGTCTGTAGAATATATGTTCTAATTTGCTCTATATGAGCCAAGGAGACAGAAGAAGAGACAGAATAAATGTACCAACTCCTTCCCTTTGGGCTGCCTGGTTGCAGCTAAGGTTGTCCATTCCACAGCAGTGAAAGAGGAGGCAGGTGCATCTTCTCCAACGATGCTCTTCCCATGGTCCCTTTCCACATCCTCAGCTCTCAACTCCGCTTGGATTAGGCTTGTTTTTACACCCAGCACTACCCTGGAAACCAAGTTGTATCAACATTACCTAGGCTGTACTGGGGAGAAAGACCCGCTGAGGATAGTAGGACTTCCTTCTGCAGAAACATGCATAAGATTTTGCTGTTAGCAGCTGTTTGGCAAAGGTTTAATTTACCTTTACCTTATTTATTCATCACTGATATAAAAGATTTAAATAAAGGGGAAAGGCCATTATAGAGGACAAATTAGTGAAATAAAGGACAGTGATTCACCCTACCCGAGACAAAGTACAAACTATTGATGTTTGAGTTTACATCATTAATTAGTGTATTTATTAAGATCTCTTTATTTAGGGTATGCTATGACCTCTAGTGGTTAGATAAAAGTCATTGTTGGCTTTAGTACAGGAAACTCTGTTTTGTGTGCAATTTACAAACAAACCTACTGTAAGGATACACACCCTTTCCGTCTCTGTTTGGCCCCACAAATTCATCCTGTCGCCACTACTCTGAGATACCTTCATGCATTCACCATTCCAATACACATTTCAACTGGGGCACCAGTTCTGTGCCTTTTTTGATACTGAGTGGCAGATTTTTTTAAAAAAACAACAACAACAAACCCAGCAGGCACATCTTTTCTCATCAATGCATTTCCATACCAGGAAAATTGCCCTGGTGGTTTTTGTTTCTGCATATCATACACCTCTTAAATGCACGAGAGCCCTACTAAAAAAGAAGTTGGCCATGCTTTGGTTCAAAATGAACAAAAGATGTATCTTTGCAGGCAATCCTCTGCATATCTAAGGAGTTCACCTAAGGAGCCTCATCAGCAGAAGTCCTACACAGAGACTTCCACCTTCACAACAGGGCCTCTCCTCGCCCTGTACAACACCTCCCCCCCATTGGAAGTGGGGTAGTCAGGAAAACCCCAGAACAGCACAAGGGGTGAGGAGAAGAATTGTTCCATCTGATGAGCTGCAATGTTTGCAGACAGAATGTTTGTCATAGTGTGATGTTGAATTCCACCTGCTATCTTGAATGGGGCTCGCTCCTTTGTAAGTGAGACACGGAGCCCCCAAAGAACAAAATAAAATATCTATAATTTAAATAGTTCTTGACTACGTTGGGAAATTTCTACAGGGGGGAACCTAAATGGCCAATCCAGCCACTGGAGGCAGCCTTCCCCAACCTAGTATCCTCCAGATGTTTTGGACCGCAACTCTCAGCATCCCACACCACTGATGATGCAGGCTGATGAAACTTGGGGTGCAGAAAATAGCTGCAGGATACCTGGCTTGGTCAGCTGCTCTGAGGCTTTGTTCAGCAGGTGGGGACCGCAATGGGGAGAAATGCTGAGGAAAGAACACAACTGTCTCTGCCATCTTCCTGATCCCTGCATACAAAAAGATGTTGAGGGCAGCAAAAGAATGTCAGACAACCTTGATCAAGCCCCAGCCACTAGACCACATTGGACTACCATCAAATAGCCTTGGCTCATCTAAACATGAGATTAACAAGGTTCCATGGGGATTAAGCAAATGTGGGTCTGCAATGGGGAGAACTGTGGTCTGAGCTTAAAATGGTGGGATGTTATAAGCACCGAAGTGTGCTCTCAGCTCATTGGATTCTGGGAACTGACAATGATTCTGCTTAGGGAATAGTGTGTTGTACACAGGCTGATTGCTCCTTCCCTGTAATTCTTTCAGAACACATCAATGTGCAATAAGAAACAGATTCTCAGATAAACTAAAGCACATTGCTTTCTCCTCTGAAGAAAATCCTGGAATGGCTGCCCTGTACTTGCCACCTTGCAGGAAAGGGCGAGCTAAGCAAAACATTCATCTTTTTATTGTTCACTGGTTCATGAACAAAACTAGGTTATTCTGCTGTTAGCTTCTGTGTATGACAGTTCACTGGAAACACTTGAATCAGATAATTGGAATCCAACTCTCCTGTTGACAACAGTAGTATGAAAAAACGGAATTGAATATGTAGAAGGAAATGATCTGATGGCTTTCATCTGCTCTTCGTCGCTAGGGAGAGAGCTTTTCCATTTGTCTCCGTCGGAGGCAGCCCCATTCCTCATCATGGAGAGGCTCTTGCCTTCATGGAGGAACCACAGAAAAATAACGACCATGCAGAAAAGGAAATAATATTACAAGCCATCCTGTTGTCAGAGTCAATCATGGGACTGCACCAAGACAGGTTAGGATCACATCTTACTATATCTTTGAAATCTATTAAAAGCAGTTTGTGGAGTTGTTTTATGGCCATAGGCAGTGATGTGTGATTTCTGCGCCAAAATAGTTGGAAACATTATACACCAAGTATACTATGCCAGTTGAGTATATTTGCTGGGCTTTGTAAGTCATTCCACATCTAGGATTTAGGGGAGGGGGAAGTGAACGTTTCTTCAGGGAACTTAGGCACTGTCTCATTCTTGGAGTCCAAACCAGGAGTGTTGGTGGTGCCCTAGAACCACAGAGCCACAGGTGTTGTGCCCTGAGTCTCATAATAACTTAAGAAAAGCCCTCCTGGATTAGGCCAGACACCCATCTAGTCCAGCTTCCTGTTTTCACAGTGGCCCACTGGATGCCTATGGGAAGCCTGCAAGCATCTATCAATTTTGTGGAAACTGGTCAGACTGGAGTGGCACAACTGTTTTTCAGATTTTTTAGATTAATCTCAAGAGCATCTTGGCTCTTCAGCAGTGGTGAATAACCCAGAGGTGAAGCTGCCCAGATGTTGTTGGACCACAAGTCACATCATCCCTGACCATTGACCATGCAAGCTGGGGCTGATGGAAGTTAGAGTCCAACAACATGTTGATGATGTTGTTATATTTATAGATTTATAAAGTTCAAAGTATGCCCATAACAGCTTATTCTTGAGCAAACTGTCATGAAAATAGCATAAAAGTATAAGTGAAGACAGGTGTAGTATTTTAAGAGCAAGGTTTGCATTCAAAAAAAACGTACCTTTTTCTCTTCCCAGGGTAAGATCTGACACTTGGTTTAACAAGTTTTTAACATTTATGAGCCAGAAAAAATGAGCTGCGGAAGGAACCTATTGGTTTGTCTATGCCATCTACAACATACCTCTCACCCAACTATTGGCAACTATTTCTAAATATTTGAAATTAAAAATAAATAAGGTGAAGGACAAAGTAGATACATATAAACATGTAGGTCACTTTAAGATTGGTTTTTTTAAAGTTTTATGCAGACTTGGGAGGGAGGAAGTCTGACATCCAAATCAAAATTTAACTTGCTGAAATGTGTTTGTGTAAGGCATGAAGCTACAAACATGAGACATGAGTCTGACCAAACTGCGGGAGGCAGTGGAAGACAGGAGTGCCTAGCGTGCTCTGGTCCAGGGGGTCACGAAGAGTCGGACACGACTAAACAACTAAACAACAACAACAAGGCATGTTGCAAAGCTGGGATCAAACCATGGATGAAGAATCTTCTGTGTCCTCTGTTAAAATGTTGT